TTTCTTCTCCAGCGAGAGCCAGCAGCTGTCGGGGAGGGACAGACACGGGTCAGTCACTCACCTGCCAGCAGGGGGCACTACAGGGTGGGGTTTGCTCCCCCTACTGGCAGAGTGGGGGATGGAGACTAGACAGCCCCCCCCCCTTGGTGCCTGGGAGCTTCCTTGTGTTGTACAAGTGTCCTGGGCTGGGCCCTGAGCACAACCTGCCCCTTGCCCAAGTGGCAGGAGGGTGCCCCCCTCCCTAACACTGGCCTCACCCGCCCCATGGGGGCCCACCCCTCCCCTCCCCTGGTGGGCCCGGATGGCAGCGGCACTCCCGGCTGAGCCGCTCCTGTCCCCATGTGCTGCCTGGGCATGGTGCCATGTTCCCCTTGAGCCCCTGGCCGAGAGCACTGGGCCTGTCCCCCCCACAGTCCGGTGACTCACTGGCGCGCCGTGCCGTAGCCCTCCCTGTAGATGGCGGCCGAGACGCCCACGATGAGGGCCGGCACGCCGTAGCCCAACAGGAACATGTAGCGGCGCCTGAGGCCGTGGGGGGTGAAGACCTGAACCACCAGCAGGTAGAGCTTGGCGCCCTCCAGGCACATCCAGCAGAAGGCGGCCAGGAAGAAATAGTGCAGGAGCCCGGCCACCACGCCGCACACCACCTGCAGCCAACGGGACGTGGGACGTCAGGGCCGGGCTCCCGGCTCCTCCAGCCCCAGCCCCTGGCAGCAGGGGGCGCAGTGGGGAGCAAGACAGGAGCACTTGCTGTGGGGGGAGCTCCCGGCTACTTCAGGCCCAGATACTGGGGGCACTGTGGGGAGCAAGGCAAGATTGCTGGCTGTGGGGTGGCTCCTGGCTTCTCCCGCCCCAGCGTGTGCCAGCAGGGGGCACTGTGGGGAATGGGGCTTGAGGCTGGCTGGGGTGGGGGAGCTCCCAGTAGGGGGCACTGCAGGGAGCTGGGCCCAAGGCTGGCTGAGGGGAGCTGAGCCCGAGGCTGGCATGGGGGGAAGCTCCTAGCAGGGGGCGCTGTGGGGAGCAGGGCCCGAGGCTGGCTGTGGGGAGCTCCAAGAAGGGGGGCCGAGGCTGGCTGGAGGGGCGCCACAGGGCACGGGGCCCGAGGCTGACTGGGGGGGCGCAGCGGGGCACA